ATAATAATAAAATTTAAATAGTTTGCATTAAATTATGCACATAAATATTACAATATTCTCAGTCATTTATATTTATTAAATTTATTATATGATTAATTTATGATGATGATCATATTTAACAGTATGAGTAAACTTAATACCGAAACATAAGTTGAAAAATTACAACACATTAAATAATTGTTGTACGTAATTACGTAATAAATTATATTAAACAGCTATAATATATAGTTTTAATATCACTAATTAATTCTACACATCCAACAATTATTAAGAATAATACAAAATGTTTGTGATTACTATTGTGTTGGCAATAATAGCATTGGTTAGCGGCGATCCAATACCGGCACCGGTGGCTAATGTTAATCCAGTGCCGATACAAATATCACTGCCTGAAAGTGGTATTCACTACCAATCACTGGTCGGACCGGGATATCAATCACAGCTAGTATTGGCTGATTTGCAACAGAAAGCGGGCGCAGCGGCCGCTATTCGCACCATTCAGACCCAACAGGCGTTGGCCAACGCTGACGCTCAGGCGACTATTCAAGCACTTAATACCCAACAGGTGTTGGCCAACTCGGCGGCTCCGGCGGCCATTCAAGCCCTTCAAACACAGCAGGCGTTGGCAGCCTCTGCCGCTCCAGCGGCTGCTCTCCAAGCCCTACAAACCCAACAGGCGTTGGCCAACTCCGACGCTCAGGCGACTATTCAAGCCATTCAGACCCAGCAGGCGTTGGCAGCCTCTGCCACTCCAGGGGCTATACAAGCCCTTCAGACCCAACAGGCGTTGGCCAACAACGGCGCTGCGGTTCAGGCTATTATCGGCAATTCTGTGCAACAAAAAGCGTTGTCTGACGCCATCGGCAACGATCTCTTCCAGAAACAATGGGCCGCAGCCGCCGGCGCCGCGTCGGTAATGGGAGTGGGAGTCGGCTCTAAACTGCCGTTCTTTGCCCATAACTCGTGGACATCGAACCCAAATGTGTCGCCATTGGGTTTGACACCCGGAGCCATGCCATGGCTGGAACCAATGCCGTGGATTCAACCAATGGCCTCACCCCTAACCTCTGCCATCATAAATGGCATCGTTGTATAGACTGGCTATAACTAAATCATTATAACTAGATTAAGGCATTCAAATAATAAGTTTATGTTGTTTTTTACAAATAATATTTCAATATTTGTTGTATTAAAACTATTATAATATTATTATTGGTGTTTTTAAATTTTTAGTTATAATATCACAATAAAAATATTTTTATTTTAAAAATTCAATGTTTTTTAAATTCAATATTTTGGTTTATAAAGAGATGAGCTCATAGTTAATTGTAATAAATATGGTAGATAGCATAGTCTAAATAACTTGATGGTGTATATTTTATTAATGTAATTTTATTAGTACAGTAAATATATAATAGATACAGTATTTTAAAATTAAAATAATACTACTTTAAAATCTTAAAATTTACAATAATAATAATACTTTCTATTTATTAATTATAGATTATTATTTCAAAAACAATTTATTGCCAAATAAATGTTTGTATCGATCGTTGAGGTATTGTATGATTTAAACGATTGTTTGAATCAACAATTTGTAAATCAATTTCGCTATCATTTTGATTGAGAACCACAACTACTATCGCATTGTCCGTCCGTTTCATTGTTAACACAAACAAATTATTTACCGTTTTATCCAATTTATGACCGATTCTGACACTATTTGGGGGCAAAAATTTGCTAAAGTGTCCGATCGTGTAGAAAGTGGGCTGTTTATAGGCCTCCCGTTTTTCAATGTCCACAACAATAGCGGTTCCGCACTGATTGGGTCCGCAACGGGGACAGCCATTCAGGCCCAGAGCCATATTCCACTCCACCCAACCGGTTGTCCAGTGATTTAAATCCTAAACATAGTAGAGAAAAAAAATCTCAAGCATTATCATTCACAAAAGTAAATAAAATCACCACGATAACAAAAACACCAACCCTAATAATATCATGCGCGTAATGCTCGCCAAAATCCCAGCGCCCATTGCCGAGGCCGGACAGATGACAGGCCTCGGTCATCAACATAAACCTATCGCCATGCTTTTCGTGCACCGCATCCAACACCACATCGGGATACTCGTCGCCGGTGGAGCTCTCGTACCAGTGATAGGCGATGCCCGACACGTACTTCTCGGCCTCCCTGTCAGCTAACACTGTGTCCGCAAACTGTTGCAAAGTGTTGTGCCAACTCGTGTTGCGCCACACGTTGTCGTCAAATATCATGAGTTTAAGTTTGTCCGAAGTGTAGCCACTTTTGTGCAAAAGTGGGCCCAAGTTTTTGGCCACAAATACTCTTTGCATTTCGGGATCAAAGAACAGGTCGTTGGGTATGAACTGTCGGCCCCACGTCGGCTCGTTTTGTGTGGTCAGACCCCATATGCTTATATTCTGGGCCGCGTATACGTCCAAAAATCTACATTATGTAATCAATATAAGAATTATATAAGTATATTAAAGCTTAATTATAATTTATATTAAAGCATAAATATATTTCATATTGAAGTATAAGTAATAATATGAACCTGTATAATTGAGTGCAAATACAGGTATAAATAATGTGCGAAATATTTGATAACATACTTCACCAGATATTTGGCCCAAATATCGTAATACTCGCCGCCGGTCTCGCCTTTCAGTTGGTTCGGCGACTTGTCTTTGGGGCCGGTTTTCATCCAATCGGGTGCCGCCCACGCGCTGCCAAACAATTTGAGCGGTGCTGTGCATAACCTCTGCGCTGTTTTCAAGTGTGGGATCTATGTAAATATAATTAAAAATATTTAATTAAACTAAACAACATAATTAATAATCTAGTCAAAAAATGTACCTTGAGCTCCAGGTCCTCCTTGGCCAGGGCGAATTTTGTCAGCTGTTTATCGTCAACGTTATCGTCGTATGTATAGTAATGGGCGGAGTAGTCAGTGGAGGCCACGGGTAGTCTTCCCATATTGTATTCGATACCGTTTTTCCCGAAATAACTTTCCATCAAATACGCGGACAACTCGTTGGGCACAGCATTCAAAACCATACCGAACTCGTCGGTGAAGGCGCCGCCAAAACCGATAATACTCTGGTAACTCTGGTTCCGGTCTATGGTTATGGTCTGCGACTCTTTGGCGCTTCTCATTAGTGGCCGGGCGTTCAGTTTGAGTTGAGTTTCCCGAAAGCGTTGACCACTTTTGCCGCTCTCGTAGACCAACGCGTGGCCAGTCTTGGGTAGGATTAGCGCCGGAAAGTCATCGCAATAGGTTTGGTTACAGACGCAGACACTGTCGGCGCCCGTGATCTTGCGCTCAGCACATGGTTTGCCACAATAGACTGTTTATTACATTTAATATTAATGATTATAAGTTTTAATTATTTATAAGTCTTAATTATTTTCTTTACAAACCTCTGTTGATGATAAATAACGTAGTGATTATTTGTAACACAAAAATTATTTTATAATTCATATTGATTAAATAATAATTAAATATTTAGCTAATAAAATAACTATTTATTTAACATTTAACCACGAGTAAATTTATTAATTTTGCTATATGAGAATTGCTTATTTATACTAATTTCAGTTTCAATAAACGTATACCTGTATTAAAGTGTTAGTTTATCATTTTAAATTATCAAACAATAACAACATGATTAAATTTGTCCTCGAAAGTACCCTTACGAAGTGAAATTAACAATGTTAAGTACATAGCATAATTGTTGTAATTTAACAAATGAACTAAATGGACATTAGTGTTACCTAAAATATTTAATTTTTGACATAAATATCATAAATATTTGAAAAATCGATCTTAATTTCATACCTTAACTATTGTTTTAATTAAGAAATAACCAAATGAGTTGAGTTTCTATGTACTTGTTACTATCTAATCTATAAGCAGGCAAAACATACACGTCACTACACCCAGCATATAACCCTTGTGTTGTAATTTATACACTATTCATATGTTAGTTACATATAGTGTACTCTAATACACGCCAGCGATTGAAAAGAGCCCAGCGATTAAGCGCAGCACCGCTCAAATTGTTTGGCAGCGCGTGGGCGGCACCCGATTGCATGAAAACCGGCCCCAAAGACAAGTCGCCGAACCAACTGAAAGGCGAGACCGGCGGCGAGTATTACGACATTTGGAAAGTTTTTCTCTCGAAATTATTTAATTTGTAACGAGCATTTAATGCAATGTATATATGTACAATATATATATTATATTATTTATAATGTATATATATATATAATGTAAAGTAAGTATAATAAGTATTAAAAACATCTGTTAACTACTACAGTCTGCACCGCATTTATCGGTCCCACATATAACGTAAAACCGCTTATAACCGAATATTTTTGCTGCACCGGCAGCACCTATGACTGTATAACGATATGTTCACCAATAATAGCAGACTCGGTTATAAAAGAATACCGCATATAGCAGACAGTAAACTAATGCCGTGCAATGTTAAACAGGTCCATATATAACGGAAAAGGGTTACACACAAATATAGTTATGATGAAAACTATTCATCCTCGTATTATTAAGAACTCTATTAATGAAATAATTTGTAGTGTTTTTAAAATTAGTGTTTTAACAATAAAACAGTACTTTTTACATGTTTTAACACATAAAGACAACACTATACTAAGTGTAAAGTATGTTTAAATAAGCGCATTTTTGGCAAAATGTTCATAAGTCTATTACCAGGAATAACAGAAAACCGGCTATAACAGAATAGACTTAAACTCACCGAGCGATTCTGTTAAATGCGGTGCAGACTGTATTAATATATCTATTATAATAATGGCGAGAATACCAACCATCATCATTTTGTTGCCAATGATGTACAATATATTAGCCCCTACGCTATTAGCTAAGGAAGGAACAGATGCAGTGGGAGGGGCTGTAGCTCAGATTGTAGAGACAGTGCCCAAATTATTGTGCATGGTTGGCTCGTCGATCAAAATAATGGATTGTGAGCCCAAAAAAATGGTCGCCCAAACAACGT